GTGTGTGTGTAGAGAGAGAGAGAGAGAGAGAGATATGCCAGTAGACATCTTAAATTTTAAAATGGCAACCAAATAACCAAATTTTCAAAAGAAACCTTTTTTTTATACCTAGATGTTGCCACACACCAAATTGGAAGTTAATACCGCACTTATTTTTTAAATGATCATGCTCACAACATGCACGGATGGACAGACGGACGGACGGAGGGTCTTTCCAATACCCACTCCTCGCTCCACGATGGGGGAAAAATATCTGGTTTAAAAAACAGCCTTTTCTAAATCTTGCTGCACTTAAAGCAACAACAGTAACTGTTAATCTATAAACAAATAAATAAATTCTCAACACTATCGTGATGTATCAGAAAAAAAACAACAACTGTCTACCTGACAGATAAGTTTCAACAGGTTTATTTTATTACATTTATTGGAGTCTGTAGATATTAAAATATTAAATGTATGTGCTGTGTGGCTGTGTGAGAAAATAAATGTTCTTCAAAATGATACCACTTTTATTATGAAGTATATGTTTTAACATGATTACCAGCATGGAAAGATGAATGTACAGATATGAGACGCAAAGTAATGCAGTGAAGTTGTTTCGACTGGTTATTTGCTTTGTGAACTGAAAACTAGTCCCAAACCAAAGCTCTTCACCTAAACCACACATGTAGGAACAAACTGGAGAAAAGAGTGACAGATTTTCTTTTAACCGAACATGAAATTATCTTTTCCTGTCAGTTATTTATGTACAACTTTTCTTTCTTGAGCTGATCAATTCAAAGACATTCACAAATAAATTCTCCCAAGAAAACAGAGGAACATAAAGGTTGCTGTATACCCCTGCTGCTTCTGTTGTAACCTGGTGTTTTATTGAAGTTTAGAATCCCAGTAAAAACGCACCTGTTTGACGATGGACTTCAGCCTGGCCATAGCAATCACCGTGACCCACACCGACATGAGCGACCCGAGGAAGTCACAAAACTGCAGGACGTCATACTCCATGATGCAAAAGACCACAATCCCCGGCTGGTCACATGCATGGTAAAACTAAGAGAAGGCACAGAAAAGAAAAGAAAAATGGCTGGAAAATATACATCATAGATTGTACCCAAAAGGCATCGCATAAAATGAAAAAGTTGCTTTTGCTTGTGAATCTTTGTGAATCACAAAATCCAGCTTTCTACAGAGCAGCTGCATGTCGAATATTTAGTAACATGCTTATTGCTGTTGAACAAAATGACTGATGACTTGGTTCTCCAATTTACGTAAATGTTTCAGATTATATTTTTACAGTGAAGTTACTGATAGGATTCAGTTAAAGTTAAAATTGGGTTTAAAGTTAAGTTTATTGTAATGCCACAATCAATTTTAGCTTATTGAAGGATTCTCTCTTGGGTTTAGATGATGATTTTACTGTATTTGCTTGATTTTTTTGACAAAAGGAATCTAAAAACCAAATTAAGTAGAATTAATATATATATATTTTTTTAAATAAAATAAATCTGTGACCTGTACATGTAAGGTATCCACCCAACTAAAATTGTGTAGATAAAAAAAACAACTTTATTCTCTTCCAAACAACTGATTTGGTCAACTCAACATGTCTGAGGAGGCTCCAGCAACTTGGACTACATTTGGTAGACCTACAGCCGAAAAGATTTTGAATAAATGTCAGTATGAAGATTTCTCTCTTTTCAGTAATAGCTTCAGAACCGTGGGCTTCTCTGTGTTCACAACAATGATTTGAGTAGAAATAATGGCTGTAATTTACCAAAAATATAAATAAGAGCTGTAGTGTAGCACAAACAACAGTGAAGAGATGAAAAATATATGACGTAAATCAGCAAACAAGCATGTTCAGAAATAAACTAAGCCATATAGAGCGACCGGGAAATAAATAGAGCACTGTGAAGATCTGAACAGTCGATGCATGTCGAGCTCTGTTCAACAGAGTGCTCAAATAAACTATTCTTTCTTTGTTACAACGCTGTTATTTTCTTGTTATTTTGCACTTTTGGTGTGGTAAAATTAACAATTATTTCTGAAACCATCTTTTGAATCTCACTCAGGCCTGGAAAAGACAATGCAGTTCAACATTCTTCCAGTGTATTCACAGAGGACAAGGTTGCTCAGGTCATTCTTGGAGATGTGATGCTGTCACTGATTGAATCCAAGGATGTTTTCAGCTGGAAGTTACAGAAAGTAGCTTCAAAACATCAAGTTTGCAAGAGATGTTATGGTTTACTTATAAATAGGAGCAAGTCATCTGCATATCACGTAATTCTATGCACATACATATCTTTCAGAATAACTCTTTAAAACACATAGAATTTCTCAAAATCTGTTAATTTTATTTAAAGACTTGATTATAATTGGAATCATTATTTGAATTACCACCAAAGGTGCCTGCATGTCATCACTGCCCATGTGCAGCTTTATCACCAGCTGTCAATCAGTGGAACAACATGACACCAATGTCAGGGATTTGCATTGCATCGCCTGCCTGCTCACTTATGTTTACGTGCATCTTTGAGCTCGTGCACAACACAAACATACCAGGAACAAACTCCTAAATGATGATCACAATCAGCGCACTTCTCTCATTCACAGCGACTGACTTTGTTTATCTCATGTCTCGTTAAACCGCTGCTGAATATAAATCAGCGGCGCAGCCTTCCTGTTTGTGGCACTCTTTCAGACACAACTTGATGATCACTTTGAAATCACTCACGGTGGAGAAGAACATGGTGAAGATGTAGACGGAAGCCTCCAGCAGGTAGTGGCTTCGGATGGCGATGGCCACAGGTGGGACAAACATCAGGTTACTGAGACAGAGCAGCAGCGTGGAGAGGAGCTGGAAACTGTAGGTGTAGGCTTCGGAGTTGTCCGTGCACCCCCAGCCGTTCCAGCCTGGTAGACAAAGATGCTGTCAGTCCTGGAAGCTTAACACATGAGGTGATCTGCTCATGTTTTGTGCTGACTGTGTAGATAATAAAATATATTATAAACAAGTCGTGCATTTTAAAGCTCCAAATGAACAGAAAAAGGGGGTTCAAAATTTGCTTTGAAAACAGAACTTTAAATGGAAAGTGAAGCAGTTTGTATTTACAGTGTTTCACTAGCGTTTTTCCTCAAGTACATTCATTTAAAAGAAACAAAGCAAATTCATTAAAAATAAAAAAAAAACGAATGAAAGGGGTGAAGAAAGAAGAAGAAAATTCTTATATATGCCCCTACAAATATATAAAATAACTACAGTACAAACAATCAACAAATTAGGATTGAACAATCTCCGAAGTGAAAACAAAAAGCATCTGGCATTTTTCACATGGCCAATGATTTTAACTTAATCATCTTTTTAAAGATATAAATTGTTTGAGAAATTTTTATAGTAATATTGAGGCATTTCCACAATCCTATTCCCTGAATTACAACGCAGCTCCTTCAGACTAGTTCTAAATGAAGGTTTTACAAACATTTCCATTCCCTTAAAGTTATAATGACTCTTTTTTTTTAAACACATTTTAATTGAATATTTGGGGGTAATATTTTCATGAGCTTTATATGATTTGTAAAATACTATATTCAACCAAATCATAAAATTTTAATAATTTCAACTGATGAAACAATATATATTTTTATAATTCTTGTAGCAGTTTTTTGTAAAATAAAAATAGGGTTTGTAATTGTTTTGCACGCTTTTCCCCAAACTTAAATGCAATAGATTAAATATGGAACAATTATTACATTATACAATATATACAAAGCTTTGTCATTCAAAAAGTCTTACTTTATACAGTAATGCAATTGATTTTGCTATTTTTATTCTTAAGTAATTTACATGAGGTTTCCACGTCAGCTTCTCATCAATAACGACACCCAAAATTTTTATTTTACTAACTATGAATTTCAATACTGTCAATTTTAAATGGGACTTTAATAATTTTCTTTCTATTATTAAATATCATGTAGTTTGTTTTTTTTCCAAATTCATTTATAACTTATCAAGTTGGAACCAAGTTTGTATTTTTTACAACTTCTGCTTGTATCATTTCTAACATCCGTTCAATATCTTCACCAGAACAAAAGCATGTGGCATCATCTGCAAATAAAACACACTTGAAAAGCCCTGACACATCAACCAGATCATTCACGTACAAAATAAACAACTTTTGTCCCAACACAGAACCCTGGGGAACTCCACGTAATGTTGTAGAAGTCTTTTTTTTTTTTTGAGAAGAAGCTTCTTTGTAAAACTCAAACTAAAGCATGTTAAGTTGTTTATCGAACACAATAAACCTCCTGGACTTGTTTTTGTTTGTGTTATTGCTTCGGTGTCTTCATGAGCATAGAAAACAAACTTTAAAGTTAAAAACACTGCATTAATATACACAGACTCAATTAAATATTTGTGGACACTGGTAAACAGAGTTTTGCAGAATCAGACAGGCCAAGGGCAACTGCTGAGCCCAGAGGGTCTGCCAGGCAGCAGAAACACACGTGAAGCACGACAACGAAGCTAAAAGACAAAAGAACGAGGCTACGATGAGTGAAGATCAAAGGCCGGATTTTAAAAAGCCTCTGAGGACACGCTTAGTTTAGTTTCATAAACTCATCTTTTATTAAAAGACTGTTGTGGTTAGGAGTGTGGTTTATTGTCTTATAAAAATAAGGCGTTAGTGGGGGATTAGACACGGCCATATTCGATACAGTTTACCTGCAGTACTGTCAGTGGCTCTCTGTGATGTGGCACTTTCCAATTTTCTTGTCTCTATCAGTTTAATATCCCCATGTGCATTACTGTCTTTATAAAGGAAAATAAATTGAACGTTGAATGTTTGACACTGTAATCATTTCTCCACCTACACACAAAAAAAAAAGAAAGTTGTCTGACATTTGAAAAATAAAAAATAAAAAATAAATAAATAAACAACTTGGACAACTTAATTTGAATTAAGTGGCCACAGAATCGAATCAACGAGCACAGAGGAGAAAAGCGTTTCATGGCAGCCTGACACAAACACTGACAAAGCATCGAGCTGCAGCAGCTTCTCCACATCGATGCTCACCTGCTTTGCATTCGCACGCGGCGTAAAGGTAGTTGTTGGTGCGCAGGAGCTTGCACTGTCCGTACGTCCCGCAGTCGTTGATGCACGGAGTCAGGTATGAGCGCATGTACACCTCTGCTGTTACGTTGGTGCATGCTTCAAATCTGCAGAAAGCACAGGCAGGTGGATACAGCTGTCACCATGGTGACATTTTAGCTGACAAATGATGGAGGGTTTTATTTATTGTTGACCTCACAAGATGTTATATTGCAAGCCCAACGTCAGGTTGACCTATTTAAGAAAACTGTTTATTAATAGGCAATAAACCCAACCCCATACAATATTATAACATTTTTGTTTCTTTATTGAACATTATTTTTTCTGTCTAGTATGTAAATGTCATTGGCACCTTTACTTGATGCCTTTATTTCTGTTTATTTTGCAAATCTGTTCCTTTTGCATTTTGTAATGTTTGGCTTTTGCAGGGAATTAATGTTGTTTGGGGGAAAAATGATGAGTTAAAAAAAAAAGCCATATGATGAAGGAAACAGGCCAGATTGGAGGTAAATCCTTCATTGTTATCTGGACATTGTCAGTTTGTAAAAACATGTTATGACTTCTATGTCTTCTTTTTTGAAGGGTGAGAGTAAAGCCAAACATCCATAGATTTATTCATATTTTAACTTAAATTAATCTCTTCAAACGTTGGAATGAAGGGTTTTTATTAACTTGTCATATTTACAATATGAAACACTGCAGAAATATAAGAATTCACACGTGACCATCAGAGCCTTCTGTCGCTCACAATGCAAGAATGTATAAAATCTGATGTATATATTTTTGTACAACAGCTGTAAGTTTGTCTGCCTCCTATGAACCTGGCTGTCAGGAAGTGGACGACACAGGTGTGTGGTTACCATGGTAACCATATTGAGCCATTGGAAGCAGCTTGGGTCTCGTGTACACCTTTTATAGTTTTTTTACATGATTTTTTTTTTTCTTATTTTACATTATTTCAAAGCAATGTTGGAATTTTAGGCAGTCACCATTGAAAATTATTTCAAATACACATTAATTTTAAGACGTTCATATTTCATCGGAGCCGACTGTGTTGATCTTTAAAACTATCTGACGATCAAAACGTAATTTTCTATTTCACATACATTATATAATGTCATTTTATAAGGTTTGTACAAACTCCAACTTCATTAAAAGATAAATAAGAGCAGTTCCCTTGTTCTCTACAAACCAAACAAAAAAATTAGCTTTAATTTAACTTTTATGGGGCATTTTGATCAAATAACTAAAACGGAAGATTTCTACATTGCTCCACATGTGATCAGAGGAAACTGCCTCATTATTGTTTCCAAAGAGGTGTTAGAAACAAAACAAATGAATTTTTATTAACCTAAAAAAAAATTAAATTTTTTTTTCTGAAACAGAAATGGATAAAAATAATAATTCAAGTCAGCAACAGACAATGAAGCTCCAGGAAGTAACAAGTTTGGAGGAGTTTGTCTTTTCTTGCAACACTGTTCTTTTTTAAAATGATAAAATCACTTGCCGTTTGATTTGTGCTTCGTTTCAAACAACATAATTACAGTTTTGAGAAGGAACTGTCACCAGTCGTAGTGTCGCTCCATTTCTATAGCAAGACTGGACCGATTTAGTGTGTTTAAAAGTGTGAAATGTAGCACACAGCTTTGTGAACGCTGTCACCATTTTCATACCTCAGCTAAGCTTTCGAGTGAGGATGAGAACATGTCCCACACCATCTGTTATTATCTGTAATTCAAATTCTGCAGAAACTCCCAGGAGGGCCGGAAAAAAAGCCCATCCTAATTCAATTCTGTTCACATTTTTAGGCCATTAAATGTTTGGCACAACAGCTCAATCTATTGAAAGCCAAATACCTTGGAATTTACAAAGAAAAAAAAGCAAATTTTAATGAAAATATTCTGAAGATGTGCAAAAAACAATTATTTAGCATCTTGTTTTGTGATTATCTTCCTGCCATAGACTGTAAATATTGTCTCATCCAGGTTGCTGTGGGGTGCTGGGACTAAGCCTGAACTGATTATGAGATGCTCAAAAATTTATGAGCACCAGTCAGCCAACTCCACTCCGTGAATTTTTGCTTGTAAATCATGTTGTTCTTTTTAGATATTTTGAGTTAAACCCTCTTGAGAGCACAGTTTACACAGTTGTTTCCACTTTACAGCTGCAGCTGGTTATTCACAGAAACTGCTCACTTTCCTGTTAAGGGTTGGATTAGAAGAGAGATGCTCCTCGTGTGTTGTTGGAAGGGCTCTGATCTTTGGATAGAGCAGCTAAAACCTGTTTGTCTTTGGGGTTTTTTTAAGGGATAGTTCAGATCTTTTGAAGTAGGGTTCTGGGGAAAGGTTACAAACTGTAAAAACCATTTACATTACATGGTTGTTCAAATAGAAATATTGAGAATTCATGCAGGAAGTGCCACCAGCTTGATCAGCCAGTGCTACAGCTAGTTGCTACTGAGGCTATTTGTACTTACATATAAATATAGAGTTCAGTGCAAGTTACCATGTAGTGAAACACTAAAGACAATGTAATGGTTTATAAGATAGTGTTTGCATGACTCTATAGAACTGTTAAAGATTAGAGATGTTTCAAAATACACTTTTGTCTTGGGCCCACTTGGACTAGTCATTAACCCTTCAGTCTGCTCAGAATTACATTACATTTATCAAAACTGAAGCAAGTCTAAAATGCTGTCTAAAACAGGTACAGTATTAATGTGTCACACCCATTCTGCAGCATCTTGCTTGAAAAGATGGAACCTCATGTATGAACGAGTCTGCAGCTTTCATTCTGAAAGTTGGTGTGGGGACAAACAGAAAAAATGTGTACGCACAGAAATATTCAGCCAAATCGAATTGTGCGCGTGCACATTTCTGCGCACCTTTCTTACATATATCCAGATGAACGAAGAAAAAGGAAAAATAGAGCACGAGACACCTTCCCTGACATGCCTCCTTTTAAGCAGATGCAAATTTGTCCTTCATGTGTGAATCTCCTCCTTGCACAATCAAAAATTATGTCAAGATGGGAAAATTAAGAATTTTGTGAGTCAGAGACACTACGAAGTAAGTAGCGATGTGTAAGAATATGTTTGACACACGTGCACAAAGAGAAGTGTTTATGTGTGAAGCTGTAGTTAAACAATATGATCTGCTGGCGGCGCACTTCTGAGGCTGAGGCATTTACACATCACCATAATTACTGTAAATACATATGTATATTTATATTGTTATGTTACTTATGTTTATGTACATATATATATATATATATATATTTATTTATTTTTTTTTTTTTTACTGGTCTCTCTTGTAAATGAGTCCCCAAGGCTCATTGGGATCAACCTGTATAAATAAAGGTTGAATGAATGAAAAAAATACAGACACTTGATAGAAATTAGAGGCTTATGAATTAAATAGTTAATGCCATGAAATGAGAAGCTGCACATCAACAGTTTCAGCTGTGATGAAGAGGACTTGGTATATATCTGAGTATCATATCAATGACGTCGTCCCATTGAGCTGACATGGCACAGTTTGGGAACAACTGTGAAATACCTGATCAGTATTTGGTCAATGTGATCCACAAAAACAAACTACCTCCCAATTCTTCTATTGGCGATGTCCTCCAGCAGTTCCGTAACTGCCATTATTCCGCAATCACGCACAACTTTGAGCAGCTATTTATGGAAATATGTCATTGTCTACACCTTGATAACCCGAGGAACCATCACGGATGAGGTATTCTGAATTAATTTGACGATCCAACATTGTTTTCTTGGTGAGAATAGAGGTGACCCTTAGACAATTCACATGCACTTTATGCACCACATATTATGTCTGTGAGTCTTACAGGTGTATGTGATATGATGCATAAAGTGCATGTGAATTATCTAAAGGTCACTGACGCGTGTTTACATGTACAAGGACCGAGATGGGGTAGAGGAAGGGCAGCCGACTTGGGACCAGAAAGTTACGGTTCGACTCCCAGCCATTCCCACATGTCGTGGTGTCTCTGAGCAAGACACCTAATCCCTAATTTACTCCCTGGGTGCTCAATAGCTGCCCACTGCTCCATCTGGGCAGGTGCGATGGGTAAAATGCAGAGAACCAATTTTGTCATGGGAACATACAATGATGACATATAGCCCTTAACTTAGCTTTTAGCTAACAAGTGACCAGAATATAAGAAATGTTGCAGTTTAGATTGGAGTGAAGCTGTTTGGATCATGTTTGAGGTGTGTTATGTGATAGGTTTTATGAAGTTCAGCTTCATCATTTGGATTTCAAACCATAAATGCTTGCACCTCCTGTGCATGGAAACTGGTGCACGCAATGCTATTGTGCATACAAGAGGCCCATGAACTGTTGCTTTATGCTAAGCTATAAAAATCATAAAGTTCAAGTTAAGAGAGAAAACATACTTATCTCAAAATGTCTACCCATTCATGTGAAGACATAATAAATGTGAAGTTACTCAGTGATTCCTTATTTAATGTAGATGAATTAGGTTTTCCAGTGAAGCAGTTTAGCCCATCTTACCCGTGTTCAGTGGCACATAGAGAGCGCAGACTAAGGTACCAAGTGCCTGTTTGTGGGTAGGGAATTCTCAGTTTGGTAATATTAGCAGAGACGTTCACAGAGAGGAAAAAGCCAGCCATCGATTCTAAAAATAAAACAAAAATTAAAACTGTTAGCTCATGAGTTATTGCTCTAGGAATTTTCTTATTCGCCTAAAGGTAAATTTGACATACCTGATTCGCAATTCAGTGATGAGTTTTCTCGCAAGAAGAGAGGCATCCCGTGGTTAAGGCAACCAAAGACTGTGAGATTAGCTCCTTTCAGGGTAGACTGCAAAAAGAAACAGAAGCAAATGCCAATCAGTCTGTACAACCTTCATCTGCTGCCATTGTGCTGGTGAGCTAACACTGTTCATGATTACCTCAGGCCTTTTTTTTTTCTCTGCAGCCATGAAATTGTATACTTTGAAACTAACAAATCAAGTGAAGCTGCTCTCCCTCTGTCTGCCAAAAGATCCTTAATGAAGATGTTGGCAGTTTCTCTCCTCAAAGCATCAATTATACAATACCATCCAGAAGAATTCTTCAGGTGCTATGATGCATATGCTAATGCAAAGTGGCTTGTCCTGCAGGGAGGTGAGACAATCCGACTCTGCGTCAAACTTGGAACAACATGAGTGTGAATGGCAATGAAAAGGATAGATGTATTCATAAAACATTAGAGTGCGCCCAAGCACCTCATCCGACACTACAGGGTTCAAAAATCCCACTTAGTCACAGTGTTGCTGTCTTTTGCAGTGAAGAGGAGGCACAACTGAGCAATGGAGTGTTTTACAACTAATATGAAAAGTGTCCCACTAAGTTACCGAGCTAGAACGTGCCCTCAGAAGAAGTCATTCCATCAGAGACAACAAACTTTAGAGAACAGGATTCAGTTCATTAAATGGTTTTGTTTTGAGTCCAGAGGGAAATATGTCTGACGGTGAGGATGACTTTAGGCAATTATTTCTGGAATAAATAAAATCTTTGTTTCCCACCCCCATGGCACAAAATGAACATAATGTATATGCAGGGAGTTGGGTAGGTTGTTGATTAATGCCATGCCTGAGAAACACTTTACCAGGTGCTGAGATTTCAGGCTTCTTAAACTCACCATCTGGCCTGTACTCTCTTGGTACTAAGACTAAATCACGTCCACTGGCATTCTGAAATTGTTCCTCCTCCCATCTCCCTATATTTCATCTTTACTCCCCCTTACAGTTTGAAGGAGGAGGATTAAGAGGGAAACGCTCAAGTGTGGAATACTGAAAGGGGCCCTCTAACAAACACAGGCCCAGAGAAAGCAAAAAGAGGGTAAGAAGTCCTTAAAGCCAGATTCTCTGTTTTCAGTTCAAAAGGCTGAGTGAAGGGAGTTTTATTCATTCTAGCAGCAGCATGTCAATGTTGGTGTGACGCTTGATCCTCTGCTTTGATCCAAACCAAAATAACTCAATGGCTTTTTGATGGATTGCAGACATTTTCAACAGATATTTAACGCATAATGAAGGTGAATTCAAATGATTTTCTGGTGTTATCAGCAGATATTAGCATTCATTGTGTCACCAGGGATGAATCTTACTGATTAAGACATCTGTTTGGAGTTTAAATACAAAATAAATGCTGTAGAACTTCCAATAAATGTTTATATTCTAAATAGATTCAACATATTGAGTCGGATGCCTTTTCTCTTAACATCAGTTCAAACATAAAACTGTTGCTTGGTGCTTTTAAACAGGAATAAGTGTGGCAATCCACTAGACCTCATCATTTTAATTGATGCCTGAAAGATGTGAAGGACTGTCATTCAAACCTTAAAAATGTACTTTTTTTTTAACAAAGAAAGTGATTTTTGTGACATTTTTTTTCCGACACAATGAGCTCCCTTACTGTGATCATGAAGCAAAAAATGACAAACTGAATGAAATAAATTGCATTTTGCACTCTTATGAATGGAATTATGATTTTGCAGAATTATTTAATCATAATTCCCTTCATAAGCTTCAAAAGGGGAAGGCAGATGATATAGTTATTGTCCGTGTGTGTGTGTGTGTTAACAAAATATCGCATGAACAACTGGATGAAATTTTCAGTCATACTCTTGAAAAGAATGAGTGATTATTTTTTGAGTCAACCTGATTCAAGATGGCTGCCAAAGCCAGATGATTTTAAATAACAAACAGTTGGTCAGCAGCAGGAAGCATGAAGTGCTCTAAAACTTCCTGGTAGACAGCTACATTGACCTTGGACCTCAGAAAACACAGTGGACTAACACCAGCAGATGACATGGCACCCTAACCATCACTGACTGTGGAAACTCAACACTGGACCTCAAGCAACGTGGATTCTGTGACTCTTCTCTCTTCCTCCAGACTCTGAGACCTTGATTTCCAAAGGAAATGCAAAATTTACATTGATCAGAGAACATAACTTTGGACCACTCAGCAGTAGTCCAGTTATTTTTGTCTTTAGCCCAGGTGAGATGCTTCTGATGTTGTCTCTTGTCTCTTGACACAAGGAATGCGACACCTGAAACCCATGTCTTGCATACGTCTGTGTGTGGTGGTTCTTGAATCACTGACTCCAGCTGCAGTCCACTTTTTGTGAATCTCCCCCACATTTTGGAATGGGTTTTGTTTCACCATCCTTTCCAGGGTGCAGTTATCCCTATTGCTTGTACACTTTTTTTCTACCACATCATTTCCTTCCCTTCGTCTCTCTATTAATGTGCTTGGACACAGAGCTCTGTGAACAGCCAGCCTCTTTAGCAATGACCTTTTGTGTCTTGCACTCCTTGTGCAAGGTGTCAATGGTCGTCTTTTGGACAACTGTGAAGTCAGCAGTCTTCCCCATGATTGTGTAGCCTACAGAACTAGACAGAGAGACCATTTAAAGGCCTTTGCAGGTGTTTTGAGTTAATTAACTGATTAGTGTGTGGCACCAGGTGTCTTCAAAATTGAACCTTTTCACAATATTCTTATTTTCTGAGATATTGAATTTGGTGTTTTCATTAGTTTTCAGTTATAATCATCAACATTAAAAGAAATAAACATTTGAAATATGTCAGTCTGTGTGTAATGAATGAATATAACATACAAGTTTCACTTTTTTAATGAAATTACTGAAATAAATAAACATTTTCATGATATTCTAATTTTATGACCAGCACCTGTATATACTGTATATACCTAAACTTTGGTGTGGTAGTAGCTGAGACTGATTTCCACCATATATTCTGAGTGCTAACAGACTGCATGAGAGATTTATTTTTTTTTTTTCAAATTTGCCGTAATCTTTTTAGAGGTTAGCTATGTTTGTCTGTTAGGAAAATATCTCATGAACCACTGAATGGGTTTAAATGGAGCTCTCAGGAAATAATCATTAGATGTACATCTATAACTGAAGAATGTTTGGAGCCAACCCAATTTAAGATGGCTGCCACAGCCAACTGACCAAAACACAAAAAATTACTGTAACTCAGTTGATTTTACAGAAATTGTGCTAAACTTTTGTGTGGTTGTAGTTGAGACGCATCCACAAAAAATATTCCAAGTGTCATTTGTTACAGAATGTTTTTAGTGAGAACTTCAGCATTAACTGCTCAACCCTATTTGTCTGTTAGCAAACTACCTCATAAACCACTTGATGAATTTTAATAAAACTTCCACCAAATATTCATTGGATGAATATCTAGAACTGATTATTAATTACAGAGTCAGCCTTTATTTAGGATGGCCAACACAGCTAATCAAAACTCCACTATGACTACATCTCTGTCCGCTTTATAGATTTTAGCTCAAACTTGATGTAGCAGCAGCTGAGAGTCTGTGATCTCATAATCTTGTATGAGATGGAGCAAAACTCCAGATGATCTTATTCCTATGAGGTATTCATTTAAGAAAATGTTGTCATCAACTTTATTGCTCACTTTCTCACAACACTTCTGATACCAATCAAGCAAATATTTGTGCAGCAACGTTGCAATACTAGAATGGGCTTCACTGACTGAAGTGTGAGCTTTTGTGCCATTAAACAAAGTCTATACTTTGAATATTTAGTGAAAATTTAGGTTTCTGCCATATCCGATAAAAAACTAAACCCAAACATATTTTCCCCCTCTACCCCCTGTCATTTATCTTGCAAGATATTAGAAATTTAAACAAGGACATCTGATATGAAGTTCAATATTTTGCAGGTAAAGGACATTAGCACATTGTACTTCTGGTGCTTTACAGATTTTGTGTCATGATGCAAGAAAAATGCTAAAATATCTAAAAATAATCAAACAAGAAGGAATATTTTAATTCTAAAGAGCGTCCATTGATCCTCAAACTCTCCTGTACTTCAGAGAAACAGTTTGACTCGGTGCATCTGTGTTTCTGAGTTACTGTTATCTCGACAGGAGCTCATTTGTCAGATGATCTTTTTCTTTACTGCCTGTAAACATCATTCTCCACCAGGAAACACTCAGAATCAAGGAAGCACGATTATCTCGAGATGCAGATGATTATTTGGTGATATAAAGGTTTAATCTTTCTGAACTGCATCATCTGCAGAACACTGAGTTTTGTAGAAACCAGGGAACAGTTCTGCAGCAGCTCCAGTCTGCAGACTTGTTTGACAACTAGATTAAAATCTACCTGATAACGTTTGAAGCTTTATTTGTTTTTCAGCCCCGTCTGCCTTCAGCACTCATCGTCTTTACACTTCAGGAACAGAGAGCAGCCCCTTTCAGAGCATTTTAAACGTCGCTGGAATAATCTTTGTTGTCAGGCCATTATGTGATTTGTTGTTAATTAACAATCGCTTCTCGCTCGTGTTTAAGGCTCCATTATAAATTCATGTCTGGGATTTTAATGTTAATTTTGCACAAGCTGATATTTGCTGCCCGTGCGTTGTAAAACACTTTGCGACAATGTTGTGAATGTTGCTAAATTAATGACATTTATTACAGTGATTTATATGCCTGATCCAAAATGCTTTTGTTAGTTATGATGGGTGAATGTGAGTGGCAGAGACATAATTCAGTCACAAGGGCCATCTACCAGTAAATTAATAATCAAGGCTACAAGCTAAAAATATATATAAATAGTGGTAAACATTCAGAATAGCAAAATGTATCAACAAAATTATTAATAAAATATTTCACGAACCATTGTATAGATTTTAATTAATCTTTTGCAACGTAATTACAGCTGGTTACTTTTGGAGACAACCTGATTTAAGAAGGTCGCCACAATTTTAATCCTATAATCGATCTTAGAAAACAAAAAAATGGGTATAACTCGGTCGATTTTGCAAATATTGAGCAATAATTTAATGTGACAGTGGCCAGATACTCTTACGACTCATAAATTGGAGGAGATTTATAAAACATTGACCATAATTGCCAAAGTCAGTTCTGTTTTACTTTTAGCAAAATATCTTATAAGCCATAGGATGGATTTTGATGAAATTCTCAATGCATTTTATTGCATATACATCAGTAACTCTAGAACTGATATATATATATATATATATATATATATATATATATAT